CTATCATATTCAAATTTATTCAAGCTTATGTTACATAAATGTTTTAACAAAATAATCCAGAAAACCTGGCGCACACACATAAGGTCTGTTTTCTGTGCTTAAACTAGTGTACACTTTTGAAACTTCAAGTGAGATAAATATAGATTATGATGTTTGTCGAAAGTGAGAAAGAGAGTTCTAATGCAATCTAGTGTAAGAACAGAAAACAAACCAATAGTTAGTATGTATTTATAATTATTTGACAGAATAATAGCTATTGCTAATATTTAAATAAAATTCATTCAAGTCTATATATATGCTCAACATTTTATTAAAATAATATGGAGGAACTAGAAACTTATGAATATTAGCAAATTATTAATTATAACAAAAAAAAATCAGGGCGAATGAGAGTCAACGTGGTAGTTAATACACAATCTTAAATCTTTATTCCAGAAAATAGAATCTTTATTTCAAAAAATAGTATGTTTCAGTTTACTTTGGAACCATCCTCAGCAATACTATTACAAAATATCCCTTCATGTTCAAGAAAAAAATCACCATCATATTAACAGATTTGATGTTGTAATCTCAAGACATAGAAGGAGTCTCGATTTGGACCAAAATCGAATAAAATTTATTATCACTAAAGAGTATCAAGTTAAAAAACGCATGTTGACCGCAGCTCGAATGAAACATGACTTAATTATAATTCATGTTAATTTAATTTTTACTAATTAAAATTAAAATGTGTATGCAATTGATCGTGTGCAATTTTAAAGTTATTAATTTACACACATTCTCTCTCTCTCTCTCGTAAAAGTACAAGAACATCTTTATTTGACACGTCAAATTTTGACACCGAGAACATGATGTAAGTAGAAGTAAATCCGATGGATGCGTAATAAATCAAAAATGATTATGGTTTTGAGCTTTTATGCGAGATTTGCAATATGGCTGCTTATTAAGTTGTCATATTTGGAATTTGAATACGTTGAAGTGTAAAATCATTATAGAAAATGCTAGTGTGTTGCAATAAAAATTGCAAAAACCGGTTGTGGTAACAAAAATTGTTATATTGTTTTCTTAAAGATCATGAATTACAGAGATCGAGGAAAAATGTCAAAGTGATCAAAGAAAAGAAGGGGATTTAAATCTCACCTGGTGAGTTTATGTTTCGAATATTTATAAATATAAAAATAAGATAATTAAGAATGTTATAATATATAAGAAATATTAAATAAAAATTTAATATGTTATATATTAATATAATAATGAAACAATATATTAAGAAATCTTATTTTTAGCTGTAGTATGTGAGTGACATTTTGTGCCGACTTTCATTGCTAAGTAGATGTAACAACGTGAACTCAGATAGATTATCCTATATGTATAATTGATGAATTAAGATTACTTGAAGAATTTAAAATCTCATCTAATTTAATTATTGAAAACGAAGTTTTGATTTATAGCTGATTATGTTGCGCACAAAATTTCGGCATAAATACTGAGAGATTTTCCTACGAAAACTGTTCCTTTGACAGATAATTAGCTGTCTTGTGTATCGAAACGAAACTGTTTATATCCTTCCAAAGATTTGCAAATAGCGGCCGGTATTATAAACGAGGAATTTATAAAATTTCATGGGCTTCCTTTTAATAATGAAAGTGATATATTTGATAAATTGACAAGTACTGTATGTATAAAAGTTTTTTCTGGCTTGCATAAGATCTACTGTTTTTTTGCACCGGTTCATTTTTCTTCTTTCCTCCTGGAGAGAAAAGGAAGAAAGCAGTGCAAAAGTTCAGCTAAAACGAACATGCTTATAATCGCGTATCTAGTACGCACTCAATAGTTAACAAGATATTAATTAAAAATTATTTATTTTCTTCTCATAGAGCTCTAAGAATTTTTTCAAAATTTTTCATCAACTTTTTAGTGCTGCATTTTCTTATTTTTATTAACATTAGGAAATACGGTATTAAAAAATTCTGAAAAAATTCTCAAAGTTCTATAAGAAGAAAATAAACAATTTTCGTCTCTTGCAGTTCTTCTGTAAAGTTGATAGTATTTGAGTAAAAAATTATTGAAGACCAATTTTCGGCATTTTTTAATAATTAATATCTTGTTAATTATAGCGAAAATTACAAAATGGTAGAGGACTTTTCGACTCAGTTTAGCCCGCTCTATCTGTCCATGAAATATTTGGCGATTATATTGGGTCATCCTATATATGTCTGCGTCAAATTAATAAAAAAAACTCAAACATATGTGCAATAGAGTCTGTATAGTTATATATTTTGCACTTATTATATTTATATTAAAAATATTATTAAAACAACAGTTTATATTTATTTATATAAAAAGAACATTTTTGTACAAATTACGTTAGACAATCTTATTTTATAATTTAAATATTTTTGAAACATTTAAACAGCACGTATTGCATAAATGCTCAAGTTCTGATGGGTCAGGATTTCAACCTTCTCCCATTATGCGCGATGGTTCACTTTTCTACTTATATCAAAACCGAGAATAGACATCAGCAACAACTCCATTGCTGAAAAGGAAAGGATCGTCGTCCACTTCTGATAGGCGGCAACAGACTGAACAGACTTGTCCGTAGCACAACGCTTGCACACTATTATTGACTGCACTTACACGGCATCTTCAATTGGGTTTAATAACATCTGTAGTTATAAGACTGGTCAATTATTCAGTTATTCCATTCTTTACAGGAATAGCTATGATTCGTCAGTTTCATAATTACAGATGTTATTATTAAACCCAAGCCATGTAACAATTGTGATTCTAGTAATTATATTTTTAGTAGCTATATTTTATATTCGTTTGTAACACATATATGTAAATTTGTACGTTTATAATGTATGACTCTCCTTCTTCTATACACATAATTATATATTAAATTAATATTAATATATTAATTAATATTATTTCTTATTATATATTACATGTCATAAAGAATATTTTTTGTTAAGGAGCACATTTTTTTCTTTTACCTCGAACGCTGAAATATTTTGTCCCGGCTCTGCATCATGATGATATTCTATGATATCATTATGACTTAATTATGACTTTGTATTCTATCTGGGGCTCTGATTCAAAACGTGTACAGCAATTCTTGAGTCAGTGTTGCATTACTGTTTTGAATTCTTTCTTTTCTTATAGTTCTTATTCCTCTGACCTTGTTGCATCAGATTTCTTTTTGATCCCTAAACTGAAAGGGATTCGATGTACATACATTTCGAACATTCAGAACCATGTGACAACAAGACTTAAAGCGATATTCAAAGATGACTTTTTACAGTTTTCACCAACGAACGTAGTCGTATTGTCTCTTCAGGGAGGATTATTTTGAAGGATAATAAAGATCATTTGTATACTAATTAAGTGTTCATTTCCTCATAACATTTACCAAATTTTATTACTGTACCACGTACATTCAGGATATTCAATGTAATGACCTACACAATTTTTTTTCTCCAAAAGGAAAGGTTGAAAGATGAATATTCATCTATTTCATACAATGTGTAATATACGTAAAAAAATTAAAAAGATTTTTTTAAATAAAAAATCAAGATCATCTTAAATTTTTAGTAACATATAATTTTTTAGCAACATATAATAGCAACATATAATTTTTTCCATAATATTGTAAGGGTCTTCAAGATAAATTTAACGTACTATCGAAAATCATTTTTAGTTGCTACGCACAATAATTTATTAAAAAGAGCGGAATTTTGTGTTGCAGAAGGAAACAAGCAATTTGCTTACATAAGTTTGAAATTAATAAATTGTTACTTAATTTTAGAAATCAATCAAATTTATTCACATGAATTACAAAGTCTCTTTATTATTATATATAAATAATATTTATGATGCATATTTTATGTATATAAAATCAATAAAATAACAATAAAATCAATAAAATCAACAAAAGTGATTCTCGATAGCGTTGAATTTGTCTTAAAGACAATATTATGGAAAAAATTGTATGATTTAAAAAGTTCAAAATCTCGATTCTTTTTATTAAAAAAACTGTTTCATATATACAATTTTTTATCGTATGTTGTAATCTGCATGAAACAGATGAATATATTATGATTATCTTTTAACTAATATTATATTTAACTAATAAATAAAATGTATGTGTTAAATGCTATTTATTATTAATCGTGTAAATTAATATGATACACGCATCCATATTTTTGCATGTTATTATATCGCGGATATCTTAAAAAAGGAATTAGTAAAAATATAATTATTATTATTTAGTTATAAAATTATTCTATTATTATTATCGGTTATTCGAACAACAGAAATTGCAATAAAGTGAAAGGTATCAGAATTGAATGTATCAAAACAGTAAAGAATATCGTGTACAATCTTTAACAGTAAAAAATATCGTGTGCATTAATCTTTAATTATTATTTTTCAAAATCTTTAAAAATCATGTTCATCTTCAATTTTTTAGTTAGAGTTAAAACAAAATCTGTATGATAATTTTAACAAAAATTCATTTTAAATAAATTCATATATAAATAACAAAACTAACTCATAACGAAGATGGATGCTATAAATTACATAAAGTATTTCATATGAATATTACATAAAAGGGGATTTCAATTCAATAATGTATAATTGCTGTCGCAACTATATAAATTATTGACGGATTTTGTATATGGCAAATTAAATATAAAATCAGGCTAAAATAATAAAAAATAATTTGAAAATATAAATTATATATATAATCAGATTTAATTTAATTTAATAATTTAATAATTATAAAAATAACTTAATTTAACAATATAAAACAATTTATAACTTATACTCAATAACTTTAATGACAATTTAACCTTAGAATCTGTATTCAAAATCTTCCTTCTTTTTTACATTAATGTATCATTCATTAAATTATATTAATTATACCATTCATTAATAAGACATTATATATATTATTATGTATATTTCGAATAATAATTATGAATATCAATATTTCGCTTTACTTAAAAAACATATTTCTTAGTTTTATTACACATATATCACAAAAAGATTACGAACAGTAGGTATGTCTATTTATATAATTTTTTTCTGCATATATCTGCGGAAGAAAATATTTTTGTTAAACTGCTACTCAATATTCTTATAAACTTAATAAATCTTACAACAAAGAAAATACAAAAAATAAAAAAAACTTTTTTAAACAATTTTCACTTGACAGAAAGGATTATGTGTGTACTAAAAATGAAGGAAAATGAAATGATTTAAAAGATTTCTTCCAAGATCATGAAAAAAAGAAGAGAAGATAACAGAAATTAACTCGAACAAGAATAAAGGTTAAGAGCTGCCGCAGACAAAATTTTTGTAACAGTAACCTTAAGGCATGAACTTAAGTCGATAAGCCAATCAGGATACTGCTTTAGATCTACGTAACCTGACAGAAATAGAAATATCAGTAAACTTATCCGTAAAATAAATTTCAACAGGTTGAAATTTACTTTAGGGATAAGTTTACTGCTATTTCTATTTCCGTCAAATTACGTAGATCTAAAGCAATATTCTGATTGGCTTATCGGTTTAAATTTACATCTTACACATACTGTTATAGAATTTTGTCTGCGGTAGTCCTAATAGACAAGAGTTTAACTCTATATTGCAATTCAAAGTTTGTAAAAATAGAAATAAATTTAATTCTTTATCTCTCTCTAAAGGATTATTATATAATAATTATAAAAAAATGATATTTCCAAATATTTATAATAAAAAATTACATTCTATTTTTTATATATTCTCTTCTGTAAAGATTAAGGAAATTAAATTACTTTAATTTTTGTTCTTGTTATTAAATCATATATTTTCTTGAAGATGTAAAATTTTTATTACTTTCTTATTATATATTGTCTTTTTACAATATGCAAGTTGGTTCATGATAACAAAGTTTGCACATTTTTTTTATATAAATGACATTGTTGAGCAATATCAGTCGAAAATTGAATTTTCAATTTTCTCACGAGTCTTTCTTTTTCGCACGCCTTTGGTACGAGCACATAACACTTACTCCAAATATTCTATCGATTTTAACAGTAAATTGTAATGAAAAAAAAAACGCGTTAAAATATAGAGCTGAAGAAAGATTTAAAGAAAAAGTAGTTATAATATAAGATGATCATAGCATGGAACGTCATAAAATCTATGTAAATCTTGAATAGTAATAGTCTTATTTAATCCCACCTCACATTTTTCAGTCTGAGTTGAGTAGCCTGCCTGCTTCTTGATCGAGCAGCCAAAAAAGAGTACCATCAACTGGTTCCACTCTGGTAGCTGGTAAATCTTCCTTATCTCTCAAGATTCTCTGTAAACAATAACATTAATAATTTAAATGCAATCAAATCTTTATTTTTTTAAATTTCCTTTCGCTTGTGTTCTATGCGCAGTTCTGTAATATTAATTGTATGTTTTAATATATATGTTTTAATTGTAGGAGTAAATAATATAAAGTAAAGGGGGGGGGGGTAAAAAAACGGGATATAAAAAAATCTAGTTGTTGAAGAATTATCTGTGATAAAAAAAATGGCACAAATTCTTAATTATAGTTGATGTATTATTTTTCAATTTTCTTTACTGTTAATTTTTCTGAATTTAATTTAATACCTTCGAGAAATCATATTTTTAAAGTTTTAGCTATTAAAAAAAGTGAGAAAAATTATTTAATTGCTTAATTAGAAATATTACAACTAATTATGTTGATTTTATAAATATATTTTAAATTTAAAAATTCAAATGGTTAATTTACAGGAAAAGTTTGGTAATTACTTTGACGATCTCAGCCTTGCTAGCGCCAGTGACAATAAACACACACATGCGAGCATTATTAATGACCGGCATAGTGAGGCTAATTCTACTGGGTGGTGGTTTTGGCGCGTTCAGTTCCCATGTGACCCACATGTTCTCATCATCGAGGGCTCGATGACCCGGAAAAAGTGAGCATGTATGCCCATCCTGGCCAACACCCAACAGCAGACAATCGAATCTCGGTAATCTATCCGGCGGGAAGAAGAAGGCCATTTTTTTAATGTAATCCTTCGCCGCGTTCTCGGCTACAAATATATATAAATAAATGATAAACAATAAAAATTATATATATATAAATATATATATCATATATATAAATGAAATAAGCTAATAGATAAATAAATAATAAATGTAAACAATTACAGATATATGGATTATCGTATATTCTTATTAAAAATAGAATAGATTACGGATCAAGTACCATTGAGTTCTGGGTCGACCTTCATGAATTGCTCCTCGGTGACGGGCACTTTTCCGATTAAACAACTTTTGTAAAGGCCAAAATTTGACTCAGAATCATCCAAAGGCACCACTCGTTCATCGCAAAAAAAAAAGCGCCATTTGCTCCAGTCAGTTGCAATGTTAGGCAGAGACTTGACCAGCAATTGTACTACCGAACCGCCTATACACAAATCAATAATGAATTAAAAATAATTTTCTTGATTTTTTTTAGATTATTTGATACATATGATATTTACATACACTGGAAAAAAAGATGTTAACTTGATTAAATGCGTTTAGTTCGTAGTGATTATTTAGTTCAAGTATTTATACATGATAAGTAAAAAGTCTCGGTGAAATATCCCGAAAAAACAAAGCATTTTTAGGAAAAATGATTCCGACAAAAATTGTAGGGTTTAAAAATATCTATTCAATGATTACATTTATTTCTTCGGGTAGCATCGCCAAGGTTAGGTCAAGGTCACATCGATTTAGGACATCCTATTTTTTTATTCCAGAATCTAATAACTGATGTCAAGAACTTTTCAAAATATTATAATAAAGTTTATTTTCATTAAGTATTTTTCGAGTTATGAGTTTATGAGATTTAAAAGTTTACCGCCGGCATTAGTATTACCCAAGATATTCGACTGATGGTAATAACTTTGAATATTTTCAGGATCATTACCTGGATAATATTTGTCAAGATCGAGAGTATTGGATGTTGTTCCTTTTATTTTCATTTTTGCATTAAAAATTTATTTTTACATAAAAATGAAAATAAGTAAAGTTAGAAACTAAGTTACAAACTTAGAATTAAGTGAATAATAAAGATAATACCACTTAGGTTTTACTTTTTAATAATTAATTTGAATTTAGATTGACGCCAGTTGTTGGTACCAAATCTTTTATACATACGGTACATATATCATTAGAGTCAAATAAATAATAAAAATATCACTTGGATTTTGAAATAATAAACATAGTATCACACATTTGAATTTTACTTTTTATTTAGTACTAAATATGTACTCCTATATCTAAAAACCCTATAGTATATAAAGAAGAGGCGCAAAATGTCATGTGATCATAATTCGCTAATTGCATGAAGTTTAATGCTTGATTTACTCCTATATAGTGTTCTATTGAATATTTATATTTATTATTATTTCATTAAATGTTAATATTTTGTGCTTTGCATTAAATGTTACATATTTTGTACACAAAATTTACATCTACCATACCATTTGTTGCGCTGCATATCGCTATATTGATAACAACAAAAGGTAGTCTTCAATTTTGTGTCCTTCAAGGAGCGTTTGTGCCATAAACTGTTAACTTATGCCGTAAGTTCAATACAATTATTTACATGTTGCCGTAAAAGTTAAATTTGAATTAACTTTACAGTTGTGACATAAATTACATACATTTGGTAAGTCATTATGGGGAAAATATTGAAATCATTGTGTTGAACTTTACTTATTACAGCATAAAACCTATTTTACAATTGCGTAAGCGCAGTTGTGCTTGTAGTTGTAAAAATTGACCAATCACAATCGAATATTTCCCTCATATTCGATTGTAATTAATCAATCCTTACAATTACAATCATTTATAACTACGCTTACACAATTGTAGAATGAGAGATAGTTTATGGCTTGCATATAAATGCTCCAATACACTCCTTTAAAGGGGAAAATAAAAATTAAATTATTAAAAAAAAATATTGATAAGTATTCTTTTTAGTGGACACTGTCCGTTAAATTTAATTGTTCTAACTTGTATAAAATTTGAAAAAAAATAAAAAAGAAAAATTTGAATACAATATGTCAAACAAAGGTTTTAAATCTAAATAAAGAAGTAAGTCAAATAAAGAAGTAAGCCTATTAATAATAAGCTAATTGTAATGTACAAATAAATCATTCTTTATTAGTTATTAATTATTAGGTAGAGACCAGATTATTCGCCGATCGACGTATCGATTCGAGTCGACCATATAGCGCATTCCTCATGATTGTTTTCACTTCTACTCGCCTGAAGCCGTGGTGAGTAGAGTCCTATATAAGAGAGAAGCGACATCAAACTCTCATCCAGACTGTGCACATGGATCCCCACCATTACTTTCACCACGTTTGGTTCTCCGTATGGACTGTAAATAATTCCATTTAACCAGAAGACACGTTCTCTTATATATGAGAAGCAGACCTTCAAAATGCGTTTTATCCAAAATTTGTAATTTTCAGAAAACGAGAAAAAAACTATGCACACAAGAAAACTATTCACTTTACAGAAAATAACAATATGTCAATCAGTAGAATTTGAAATATTAAAATTACTTAACAATTAAAAATATTAAACAAATGCACTTCGAAATGTCTTTGTTTTTTTTCAGTATATAAATTAAGAGAGTATTCTAGTCTAGTGTCTCTAGAATATAGAATCCGATAATCGACCTCTAAAAATGATGAACACATCTGCGCGTTTCTGTCACATATTTGCACTAGTGCAACTCAAATGAGAGAATAAATACAGAGGTTATAAAGAGCATAAGTAAGTAAATAAAGCAAAATACTATGGTATATTATAATAAATACAAAATACCGAAATTATAGGTGAGAAAAATACGCATAAAATGTATTCACGTTCTAACAAAAAATTAATGTATTATAAATATAGGAAGTAGAATAGTAGTATGAATAATATTTATGAATATAAAAGTACTATGACAATAATTCTCTGTATTTACAGAATACACAATGCCACAGTTGCTACAGTTGCGTAATAAAATGTTTTAATTCATGAAAGACAGGTAATACAATGTATTATCTTCCCAAAAATTATAAAAGACTTGTGTGGTGATTGGTTCCGCCATTTTTAGGGAGTCTGACTTCTGATCCAATAAAAAGAGGTCTACGAGTCGCCGGATTCTGTATTCTAGGGACACTATTCTAGTCTAGAAGCCGAATTTTTATTTTTGCAAATTTTTTAAAATAAAATATTGAATTTTTTTAAGACGAGGTTTTTTCCTACATATTTGAAGTATGTTTCAGAATTTTTTTATTAAAAAATAATTATAAATATGCGTTGTATAAAATATTAAATAAAGTGATGAAAAAAAATAGGTCCATGGCTCCCATGATTCCAGCTGTTCTGCTCATCTGAAACAAAAAAACCAAAGAAATTTTTAATTAATATGGACTGTAGCAGATACTAGAACGAAAAAAATACTGAAAATTTAAAAAACATCATGTCGAAAATTAAATTTCGATTTTTGCCATTTTTTTCACTAAAATGACTGTAAGAATTACAAAAAATATATTTCGTCTTGCTCATAATAGAAACTATAATCATATATGTGCTGAAGATGTATGCACATGCCCGATTGGTCAATTGATTTTCGAGATATCATAGGAGCCAATTTGAAAATCATGATTTCGAGAAAAATGCGTTCAAAGTTTTTCGTACTGATTATATCGAGATAATTTTACTTACGATCAATCAGCTAGTCCGGGACCATGAGGAAACCTTCCTTCTGCTCATAGAAATCTTGCAGAATCCTCTCTCTTCCTTACGACTTGCTTTTTTCCTCTTTAGCGAACTTAATTGAGCGCCGCTCCAAGCGAATGATACAAGCTTTGTCCCAGGAGTTTGCGTACATCTCCGCTTGCTGACCAATAGTCATTCCCATTACACTCATAACTTTTCAAATTGGTATAATATATACGAACTCGATTAAATTTCTCATTTTTTTTATCCATTTTTTATATTTTGCGTGTAAATACAATTTGCGTTCGCTCGCCTCAACGTTCAAAGCCACACTAAGCCGAGAAAACAAGCTTCTTCACAGGAATGTCAAACTCGATCGTTAGACAGACCCTTTAGAAAGATCCCACTCCAAATGTACACGGCCTTCTAAGAATAACAGTTTTCCGACTTTAGCTAAAATAAAAATGTCGATTAACAATGCTTTATCGCGCGTCGAAAACGAGCCAGACATCGCTCCTTATCAGGCTACAATTTTGTTAATTTTGCGAATCGAGCTAATTTCTTTTGCAGACATATTTTCTAGACTTGCAAAATATGTAAAAAAAAATCAATTTTTTTGACGCGTTAGACTAGAATACTCCCTTAACGATGAAAAAATGCTTTCTGAACATCTTACAGTAGCTTATAATATATTTCAATCCTGAACACTACGCCATTTATAACTAAAAAAAAAAAAATGAAATTTTGGACAAAACGCATTTTAAAAGCGTGCTGCTCTTCATAGTCCGTTAGCGAGATTTAATACGTGAAATGGTTATACTCCATTCTTTTCTTACTCAGCTTATCATATTTTAACTTCAATATCAGCTTTTTCTTTTTCTTTTCCATTCATTGGATGGATTTTCGATCTGTTAAGAAGGTTTTTACGCTACTTCCTAGTCAAAAGACAGTTTATTCATAATACGTAAAACAATTAAAATAATAGAAAAGATTACTCTTATGCTATTATACATAATTATTGTTAATTTTATATGTTACTAAATATCTTCAAAATGGTACAGTAAAAGTCAATGAATTTTTTCTAGATATTATTGATATTATTAACATTTGTATTACATGTATATTATAGACTTGTCTTATATTTCATCAAACGCGAGAACCTCCTTAAGCATAACAGTATGAAAACGGATCGTATGATCCAGCTTAACTTCCTGGGGGAGGGAAAAGCCACACGCTTATGTAATTACCAAACCACACATTTATGTAATTACCAAGCTCATACTAGCCAAACGCAATCTTAATATTCTTGAAGGAATATTACCGTTGCATCCAGAGGAGAAAAATGCTATACGTACTGCGTACAATTCAGCCACGTGTATCAGCTGCAAGCAGCTGCGGTACACAACATCACTGCTTCATTTAAGAAGGGATAGCCAATCAGAATATATATCAGCCAATTAGAAACTCGGACGTCAATGTCGCTTTTCTCTTATATAGAACTACCATAGATCATAATCATAATTATGGAGTTTTTGTAAATTTTCCTCTCTCTCCACTCTTGAAATGAAACGTTGCTTCTAAGATTTTATTTTTTATGTTTTATAAAATCATTATATTTCCAGTATTATGCAGATTATAGGATTTCCTCAGGCATCATTAGGCCCTGCGCACAATAGAAGGAATAAGGAATAATAATTAGGAATAATTAGGAATAATAACGATTTTAACTTATCAGAAATCGGATACATCGGAATACATGGTTTCTGATAGGTTGAAATCGTTAGTCCTTATTCCTAATTCCTTATTCCTGCTATTATGCGCAGCTCCTTATATTTAAGTATATTAGAAGAAAAAAAAACCATAAATAATTTTACATTCCGACAATGTGCACCAATGCCACGGAGCGCGTTTGGAAGTTTTAGTCGCCGGGTAGAGTAACTTCGAATGACCAATAAGAATGAAGAATCATATAGATATCCAGATGTAGGATACCAAATGGAAACTTCTGGTTAATTGGCGTCACTCTCTTTATACCCACTCTAATTTCTACCGCTATGTTACCCCATCTATCGCTATTTTAGAGAATAACCTACGGCTAAATTTTTTAAGGACCTGGTAACATTCTTCCGTACTCTCTAAATCTGAATCAGTAGATAATCACTGATATCAGTGCCAAGTATGCCACTGGTAATCAGTGAATTAAATGTGAGACCCCTAACCTAGCTAATCTTTATTGACTTATGATCTAACTAACCTTGTTTTAGTAAATTCAATGAATATGATATTGAAAAATTGAAATTAACGTGCAAATATCAGTATCTTAGTTATATAATTCTTCAAATGTTCTTTCTTTTTTAGTTGAACTTCACTGATTATCAGTGCAAAATATGCTATTGGGTAATTAGTGACTATCCACTGACTCAGATTTAGAAAGTAACTTTAACATTTCTAGAAGTTACCTATACATATAAAAATTTGTAACTGTATTATAAAATTTTAATAAGAATAATAAATAAATTAAGTGAACTAAGAAAATATAATATCTAATATTAATCATTTGTAGTTGGTTAATACAATACTTGTATGGATTTTAAATGAATTTTTAAATAAGGGGTAAAGATAATAATTGATAAGGATTTGTAAATAATATATTAATGTACGATAACTACATTAATGTATTCTATTTGTTATAAAAAATTTATAAAAATACTCGTCACTATCATTACATAGAATAAAAAAAATTTTACATCGTCGGTTGGTATGGCTGCCTTTGTAATTAAAAGGTATGGGGAATCATATTTCTCGACAATTGACATCAAAATTAAGTACATAATAAACAAAAATTTAACCTTGTTTTGCTATAGATTTCTTTTATAGAAAAAATACATCACTCGGATACCCAATACGGCGACCTCTTCAGGATTGCTACAGAAAATGAATTTTTAAATTCTCTGACTTTTCCAGATGAAACTGGAAAATTTGACTAATATAAAATATGTAAATTTTAATCTTTAGACTCAAGGATTATAGGAAAGCTATAGTCTATATCATTAAAAACGCAAAAAAGCTAATAACATAATAAAATTTTGAATACAAATTCAAGCCAGCAAAAAATAAATTAGTTTTGGAAAAAAGAATGCACGACGAAAAAAAGGGATCAAATAAAAATACTGAATAAAATATAAATTTTAATTATTTTGTTAAAATCGTTTAAAGTGTGGAAATTTTGAATGTATTTGATTATAAACGTCAGATATAATATTTAAAAAATTATAACAAGTATTTGGAATAGAAGCAGTTTAAGGAAATTGTGAGCAAATTTTGAAATTCTAGATTTTTTTTTACATTTTCCCCTGATTTTTCTCGATTTTCCATGACCAATTTCAATTTCCCTGACATTTCCCAGTTTTCCAGGTCTGTGGCAATCCTGCTCTTTTTTTTAGGGATGGGAGTTTCCATCCGTCTTAGAATAAGGGTATTCCTAAAATCGGTTGAGAACTCTTCGAGAGGCAACCAGAACTCTGCTTTTTTCAAAATTTTGAAAATAAAGGATCAGCTTCACAAAGGTTATTAACTATACATTGAAATAACATTCAACTTTTCACTAAAAATGCTCAAAATTTGCAATATTTTGAAAAGCCCATTTCAAAAGACACCGCGACTGGGCTTAAAAATATATTTTTTTTGTAAATGTTTTGTATATGAAATAAATGGTTACTTATTTTCCATAGTCTAAATGAGTAACAAAATCACTACAGTGGTCTCTTGGTCTATAATTCATAATTAGGTGGTATATTAATACCACGGTTATCGATAACCGAAGATCAAAAACGCGCAGACAAAATAATAACAGAGGCTGCGTACGATTTGGACGCTTTCAGCGCTTTTCAATACTTCTATTCCTATTTTACGTCTAATGAACGAAGACAGAATAATGATTACAAGTAGAGATGGACAATTCCACCCAAAACATCGATTTTTAAATCGATCTGAATCGTAATTGTGTAGATCGATTCAAAAATCGGGCGGTCAAAAATCAATTCTTAAAAAATCAATTTTGTAACCTCGGTCTGATTGCATCAACAACGTACTTTAACTTTAAGCGAGACTTAAAACTTTCAGTTTCTTTCTTTAAAGCCGAAAAAGAGGAAGAGATAGGAAGTTTTAAGCCTCGCTTAAAATCGAAGTAATGGTGCAATTGGGCCTTAATTCATTAAAACTCAATGTTGGTGCCATCACATCATGAGCATAAGAACAACTATGTACATACATATAAAGATCAGTGGGCGCAATACCCATTTTTGCAAAAAAATAAAGCAAAACAAACTCGTCTTAAAGTTTAATTCGATTGGATAACCAGTACACTAATGTGTACTGGTGCATATTAAACGTATAAAATCGCGTTGTATATCGATTCAATTTAAGTGTAAAAGTGAAATGCAAACTGCAAATATTTCGAATTGTAAAATACATATTTTACTTCACAGCACAATAAAGTATTGAGTATTTCACGATTTATCCCATTTTTACGTTTATTTATAAACATATTTCTATGTTAATTTGTATACGACCGTTTTAATATGCATCAGTGCGCATTGAATATGTCCAATCGAATTTGTTATAAGTTTATAAAAAATATACACAAGCAGAACAACAACAATAACGTCACAATAACGTCAAAGTGACATTAAAATGAATCGGAAATGATTGAAAAATGACTTTTGATCATTTTGGAATTATTTTAACATCATTTTGATATCATAATAACTTGTTCTGCTTGGGTAGTCGCATTCGCGCCGCTTGCTTTCGAAGTCGATCAATTCGATTTTTCCATGAAAGAATCGATCTGTGAATTTAATCGAGACACGAAAATCGAAAATCCAAAAAACCGGAAATTGAGATTAAAAAGATCGATTCGAATCGCTTATCTCTAATTACAAGCACTTAAAATGCATGAGTGTCCAAATCGACCGCAGCCAGAGTCAAATGATCGAACTATACGATCACTTTTCTACACTTTTCTACACTTTTCTGTACTTTTTTCGATTTTTCCAAAATATTGGGTCATCTAAAAAGTATCCTATCAAAGTATGTGTTGACCATCAACACCATCTAGTGACAAAAAACCGCGGATACTTTTTAGATGACCCAATATACAGGGGTGGCCATATTCGACGGAAAGATCTGGCAAACACTGTAACTTTTGACAGAGATGTTAGATCGAGTAACGACGTTTCCCATGATTGAAAAAAAAACATCTTTCCGTCGAATATGGCCAACCCTGTATAAATTTGTAAGAAATAAGAGTTTCGGCAAAATGATACTTTTTCTAATAAATAGTCACTAAGCATCTTTAAACAATTGCTTTTATAGTAATTCTCTTATTTATCATATCTATAGTTCGTTAAAGTACAAGCTCACTGAAGTACAATTCCCTATATCGAAGATAGGCGAAAATCGGAAGTTTATGAAAAAAAGTCTTATTGACGAATTCGTGAACATTCATGAATAAATGAGTTCAAGGCTAGTTTCGAGCGTGACAGCACGAGAATGTGACTTTAAGCGAAACCGAAAAGTCAAAGAGTCATTCTCGCATGATTAGTGAGGAACTTATCGAACGCACGCACGCGCGCACGCGCACGCGCACACACACACACACACACACACACACACACACACACACACGCGCGCACGCGCGCACACATACTATATATACACACACAGGGTAAATCAGAGTCGTTAAACCAGCTTTTTACCCTATGAGAAAATTAACTCACACACGCACACGTTATAATTCAATTAGGTATGAAGTCGATAATTTTCTCATAGTTTAAAAAGTTGGTTCAACGACTCTGATTCACCCTATATATCTCAGGAGATACGATAGTATCTCGGTACATATATCGAAAGCAAAGACTCGTATAGAATATGAAAATTATAGAGGCAGTAGTAAAATTTATTGTCAATGAAATACGAGTAGCAGCAGCGAGCAGTGAGATGAAATAAAATAAATTGTATCAAAAAATTGTGGTATCACCTGATACGCCGAAACGAAAGATTCGATCATCGCGTGAGATCGCATCGTCGGCGGCGCGGGCGATGAGGTTAGAAATCCTGGAGAGTAACTGCTCCTCGTCGGTGGCTACCACTATCCCCGTCATTGCGTGCGTTTCTTTCTTCGCGTACGGCAAAATAAGAGCGAGGTTACCCGTACCATGTACTTTCGAACACGACCAAACACGACGACCACGATGTGACTCGATGTAACACACGACAGCCAATGTTAAATAGTCACTGAGTGCTAAAAGTTGTGATTGTTAACTCGGATGACTGAACAAAGTTTTAATGGCTGTGTCACAATATAAATACATACAGTGAGCGTCGGCTTTGATGTAGTGGGTTCCAGGTCACATGACCTACTGCCATATTGTGGGTTGGAAAGGCGCTTATAAATTTGAATTTTTATAAAGCTACAGAATGATTTTTCTAAAAAAAAAAAAGACATAATTTGGTATGAAAATTATTTATAGTGTATATATTTTTAAATCAAAATTATATAATAATATAATGTTAACGAACTTATTATATAAAGATAATATTCACATTAATAATAATAATAATAATATTAAACAGTAATAAGTAAATTAAATTTAATAATATACACACACACACACACACACACAAGTGCATACTTTATTACGAGAATACTTTATCGTATACAAATATGACAGTCTACACAGGATAACGTCTCCGAAAAAATTTGATTTAATTTTTTAGTAAAACTTAATTTTATTAACCCTTTGCCATACTTTTCTATTACAAATTAAAAAAAAATTAAGCTTTGTATGATCGACGTACCATGGCTCTCATCCGTGATACTCATGTTTAGCCCGATTTCCTTATCACGAGTCTCACACGATATTGTAAGCAAAAGTTAATTATATTTTATGGGAAGGAGAGCCAGCTAACCTAACCTAATCTGCAATTTCAACTTAGAAGACACTGAAGGCAGCTATATTCCTGATTGGAAATCGACGCATGCGCACTAAAAATTGGAGACCACATAAAAAGTTCAATGTCCATACTGTATGTACTTATACTGTGGCTATGTTGCAAAATTCACTGCTAGTGCTAAAAATCTATAATTTATGGAGCTTATACTACTGTAGGAGGAATATAGACATCGAGTTGTAAGCAAGATTTAAAGGACAGAAATATCTTTCTATCCTCTTTTATCCTCTTCTTATCTAATTTTTTGTTTTATATCGCGAGATAAAAGTTAATGAACTTCGAAAGAAACAAGAAATATACGTAGCAAAAAATACAATTGTTGATAAAACAGTTGCAAAGGAGAAAAAAGCAAAAGGTAAAAAACAAGAAACAGGCAACAAAGAGCACATTGTAGAATAGGCTTAACTTTTATCGATTTTTTTGTTTTATGTCGCCTGAGATAAAAGTTAATGATCAGAAATACAATTGTCGATAAAAGGGTTGCAAAGGGGGAAGAAGTAAGAGTCAAAAAGCAAGAAACATAGGAAACAAAGAGCACATTGTAGAATAGAGACTTTAATATTCAAAACAACAAAGACGAAATGATACTCGAAGGCACTTGGATAGTATTTTAGCAAGGCCACCAATCTCTCTTCTTGTTCCGAGCGTTACCAGCATTTGTGGCGACCTCATAGCTATGACACAGGAAATGAAGAACTAATATTTAATATGGCTGTCATATATGGAAATCATCGTTTCCGATATCTTTATCGCCATGTAAGCATATGGCTGCGTTTATTATGGATTCATGCGCTTTAAGCGCTTGTAATCACTATTCTATCTTTATTAAGTGCTTTCAGCTTGAAAAAGAGCTCGCATAAAATATACTACTAGTGTTACTACTTGTGTTACTACTAGTGCAGGAATAAATTCACATCACTGTACTATTCCTTGCATTTGTATTCAAATCATTTTTATATGCATTACAATAGTGTACTAGACAATGCCACTGCTCGTTCCAGCAACAGCACTTGTACATTACTACACTATTACACTACTGCAGTAGTAGTTGGTAGTAGTGTCACAATTCATCTCAGTAGTGATACTATTAGTAACACACGCGAATTTAATTACTTCTATACTACTAGTATCACTACTTATACCATCAGTGACTAGTAATATATTTTTATGCGGAAAACGTAGCCAAATGTAGCAACACCAAGCAACACGTAGCAAATATGGCGACCAGAATGAAACCGATGACAGCCATATTGAATATTAGTTCCTCATTTCTTGTGTCATAGCTATGAGGGCGCCACAAATGCTGGTAACGGAAAAACCATGGCAGTTTGGTGGCCTTGATATTCTAGTATTTTCGAACGCAGCCTAGTGACTTTATTGAATAGTCTTGGATGGTTTTGGATACCCTGTCGACGCCTTACCATTGCTGACCACTCTGCTCAATGTTCACCACAAACATTACCGATCATTAGTGGAACGATTAACGCTGTTACATCTTGATCTAATACAGATTTCTATTGAAGATGAGCGACGATGATCGTGACATTGATATCGAAAGTGATGTAAGTAGTATGTAAGGGCAAGTTTGCTCTCGCTAGAATTTCTGATTAAACTTCCATCTTTTTAGGATGGCGATGATTCGGATTCAAGACTGAGGCACTCCAACAACACGCAATACTACTCTCAGGTGAGATTCCATGATCTGCCCTGGAATTTTTCGCCACGGCCGATAATTAAATCTCTGTTATTGCACAACGAGAAAGATTTCTTTCACGCGATTTTTTTGCGTCGAATAACTATCAAAATAATGATGTATCTAACCTCATTTCTTTAATGCTGTAGATCTTGTGTTTATCAAGTAGTATTGCTTGTTGTGTTTGCTGATATCTACATACGATCAATATAGTAAAATGAGTATTGTAATCAATGCAATAAAATGTTGTTTTTTCAGCTGTCAATAGGAACAACTATTATAAAACAATAATTGTAATTTCTTACAATACATAGATTGGATCTTTTTATTTAAAACACAATGTAAAAATATATGATTACAAAAATCTTTCATATTGTTACATTGATAGAAAAATGATCCAAATAAAAAATTGGTATTTTTCAGATGAATGAAACAGAATTGAATCTAAATTACTAATTAATATTTTTATGGAAAAATGATACACTTCTGATCTAGATAATCTTGAAATATTTTAGAATGTTGCTGCAATATTGTTGAAATGCTCAATTCTAACTGATGAGAGCTCATCTGTTTCTACAGAAAAATATTAATTTAGAGAAAAAATAAAATGTAGAAATTACTTAGATTGCAGCGTTTGAATTTTGAAAACTCATAATATAGAGTTGCTACTCTAGAAGCTTCACATTCTACTTCTGCAATAAACAATAAAGATAGACTGAAACATAACACTTAACGCTCAAAGCAAACGCAGCTATAGTTTAAAAAAAATACATTATAATTGAAAGTATAACAAGAAATGCATATTTACTATCCTATAATTAAAATGTCCCAATAAAATTTAAAGAATATTCTACTGAAATAATTTTTAAATGTATTGCGTTTCTCTCAATGTAATGATATCTGTAGGGAAGAAAGAAGATGCAGAAGTGCAGTAATGAAATATTACATAAAAATAAAAGAGATTATAAATAATAAAACAAAGTATTATAATAATACACTGTAATATTGTACAAATATGAAATGAATATAATAAGATTAAGTTTATAATGTGTAATAGCAATATAAAACAAGAATGTAAACAGTAAAATTTAAGCAGCAACTAATCACAATTGAGAATAGTTGTATATATAAGACTATATATTTTAAAATTTTTTGATTAGTTTATTATTTAAATTTTACTGTTTACATTGTATACAAGCAGAATCATAACATTATAATTACTTATGTGTCACTTTTTCTTATTATTGACAATGAGTTAATGTAATTGAATCTTTTTAATTTTTTTTTATATGATTATGTTTTGATCAGTCCTTTTTTTCTAAACATTGGCTACGTTTAGTAGAGAAAACAGATTTGCAACTGTTGTAAAATTCTTCAATATGATTGATTTATACGTTTTTTAGATCTATATAAGGAATCGAAAGCAAGCATCAATCGTATTGAAGAATTTTACAACAGTCACAAAGTTGCTTTCTTTGCTGAACACAGCCAGTGTCTCTCTCTTTTTAAACTTCAACTGTAATTTGAAAAATCAGTTTTTTTTGCTTGATTGTTCATCACTTTTATATGGATTTAAAATTAAAATTTGTTAAATTAAAAAAATTTTTAATCAAATTAATTCAGGATTTCCTAAGAAAAACTACATATAGATTTAAAAAATGGTAGTTTTTACAGGAAAATACGCGCGCTTAAAATCTTTTAAACTAATGTTTTTTGACATCTCTAATATTTTTATATGCAGAATTAGAGGAATATTTAAAATATTATATTTAAAAATCATATAATTCCATTTAAAAAAGTGGATCTTATCCTTTTGGAGCTTCCACCTAGAAAAAAACGTGACCAAAATACGTTCTCGAAACTCCATTCCACTTTTATTTGAAACATTGATTTTTCAAGTATACTTTTCATTATTAGTATTAATAATCATAATCTGACTTCAAACAATTAAGTTTCAGTTTTACATTGTTATCTTTGATTTTAAAAAATTTTATTATTTAATATGATAAATATAAGATTATAAGAATTTTGTATATGTATATTAGGCAGAGAAAAGAGCGCATCATAATGCTTTGGAGCGCAAGCGACGAGACCATATCAAAGACAGCTTTTCCAGTCTCAGAGATTGTGTACCATCCCTGCAGGGAGAAAAAGTTGCAAGCAGAGCACAAATCCTTAAAAAAGCAGCTGAGTATATTCAATATATGCGGCGTAAAAACACATCTCATCAGCAAGATATTGATGACCTCAAGAGACAAAATAATCTCTTAGAGTCTCAAAGTAATTATCTCTTCTCTTTTATAATCACATGTATACACGAATTCTATTATACAGGATTATTATAGTTGTATTGTACAGAACATTAACTAAAATGAAACAAACTCGAGGGTTTCCCACACCAAACATGAAAAAAAGTTCATATATTTTGTACTCTGTATAAAAGTTTTCTTCGAAACTATTAAAAATAGCGAGGAAATTTTTGTATTTAATGGCTTGTTAGAGCCATTATTATTATGACAGATAAAATGTTGCTGATTTCTTTAAAAAAAGACATAAGAAATAATAAACATCTTTTTTTTGATAGAATATTTAAAATTTTTATATTTTTTGATAGATTTTGTTAAATATAACAAAATCATAAAATATTCATAAAAAAAAAAACATTACCATTATTTACATAGTTTAGAGTTCAAACAGAAAAATACTTTTCAGTGATTTAACAATGGATGTGTTAATATAAAATTACTTAATAATAAAGCTATCTAGCTAAATCGTTAAATTTTCAATTATGTTTACATCCTATCAATTACATTTTTTGATTTTTAATGCTTAATATCTTTTTTGAGTTTCATTATAATTAATTTAATTTACTATTTCGAAAAAACTCAAGTTTTTGTATTGTGACTATAAATTAAATAAAAATAGAATATTACTTGTTTCTTCTAATTATTCTTTTAAAGTTCGTTCATTAGAAAAAGCCTCGCTTAATGGCTACACAGAGACCTGTGAGGTCTCCACCAAGTCTGAATCAGTGGACATAAGTGGATACAACGACACAGAGTCCGAGTCCTCCGACAGCGAGACTGGTCAAGCAATTCGACAACCAAAAAAGCTAAAAGTTGCTAGCCTGCATCATTGACGACACTCCGTACTTTCTCATTTCCTGATACTTTATTTTCATATGATGATCCGTCTTTCGAGATATTTGTAAGTGATATAAATTGCGTGTGTATTGTGCGATCATGCGTAGTTAGGTACTTATTTAAGTAAATCATTAGTGATGTTCTATAGCATATTTGTAATATAGCAACATTTTGAAAAGTGAGAAATATTCAAGAATGGCGAATACTGATATCTTGTAATACTTATGTTTACAACTTAATGTATATAAATACATGTTAAGCAACAATACTGTATTATTAATATAAATTATATCCGTTGGTGAATTTTTGGGATATCACAAATATAGTCTCCATCTTTAATTTCGGCAACAGTCTGTCTATGAATAATCATAATTATCAATAATTATGTAATAATGTTTAGACTTTTGTATCATAATTTCGATATCGCATGTCTCATCATAATTTTTTATTTATGTTTGATACTCTCGGGAATCGCTTTCCGAATCGATTGTTGCAATCGACTATCAAATTGTAAATATATTAATACACTTCAATATCATAATTAATATTTGATTATTGTTAATATAATGGCGGCTAACTGATTCAGAGTATCAACATATTGATGTGTCATGATATTTTGATATTGTTTAAGACTATGCAATATTTGGTTAATAAAGTTTTATTTGTAATTCATGTTGTATTAAAATAATTAACATAAATTGGTCTAGAAATAGAAAGCGATATTTAAATCAAAAAGATAAATTTATGAAAAAGACACTTATACATTTGTAATGAATATTTTATAGATTTACAACATTATATTATACTTTATTCGTGCCGCGAGTTATAAGGGTGTATATGTATTTTTGATGTGCGTGTAATTTCTATGTACGCGTGTGCGCACATTTGTAACGTTCGAAGATGTATATATATATATATATATAAAGTATCTCAAAATTTTTAAATAACTTACACAATTCACAAATTAAATCATTACAATTGTGATCATTATTAGAAGAAAAAAAATGTAATTAGAAAGTTTTACGTACAATCTATCTGCCGAAATGTAACAAAAGATCTCAACATAACAAGAAAAATGAGAGAGTAAAGTGTCATTAGGATTTATTTAAATTAACTTAGTTTACAAACAGGAAATGACACGATCCTAAAATCTTGTTCGACTATTTGAAAAGTTCACTAAGATGAAAAGTAGATGCGATTTATTAATCGCTGGAAATTCTAGATGCGACCAGCAAATGTGCCTGCTTCAATCTGTCCATTCCACTTCTCTACCCAGGTGTTCGGACACATTGAAGTAAAAACTCTTTTGAAGTACTGACAAGCCTCGTAATTTTCGTTGTGCTTCTTCTTGCATCGATGGAAGTCTACGTAACTTTGGTAGCAATATCTACAAAGTATCAGATTCAATTAAAAATCGCCTTCTTTTTTTTCTAAATACGAATATGATATATTTCTATCATGCTTTTGAGAAAAATAACTTTTTTCTTTCACTATTTTATAAATAATTTATAACATATGTGTATACCATACATACATATACACACCTAGCGCTTACTCTATTAAAAGTAAAAAATTCAGATAATTACAAATTTTATTAGCATTTAATAAATCAACTTGAATTGTGACAAGAATTTTTTTTTATATTTAACTTTTAATTTTAATACGATGAAATATTAGTAATGTACATATTACAATTACAATAAAACATGAAATGTCATACTATTGTGGTTTAAATATAACACATTTATATATTTTTATTAAAATTTACACAACTGGTACCACAGCTATTTTCGAAACTTGGATAATTAAATGATATGACATTTCGTGCATTATTTTATAATATGTTTAATGGATGAGCCATTTTGTTGATAATGAATACAATAATAAAAGAAATTAGTAAGCATAACAATTATACTTTCCTGTAAAAAGATTGAGGGTTCCTTAAAAGTTCTTTAAAAATTGATCATGCTAGGATAAGTTTCACTAATGAAGATAGCATACATATTGATTATGAGAGATTATTTGATCTTTACCTGGTTTGATTCTGATTAGGGAACCTAGGATCATAGGGTGCGGTTTGCCACTTCGTCTCATCTAAGTCCGAAAGCTTGGTCATAATTGCGACAGTACAGGACACTGCTTGACAAGCTATAAATTATTTAATCTCTAAATTTCAGCATGAATTCGTGTCACATTTCATCTCCTCTCTCTCCCTTCCTCCCTCCTTTAAGTCCCTTTATTTTGCCCGTAAATATAAATTGTATCATTTCTCTCTCGCTCTTGTCCATTCGTCTCTCAAAGCACACACACACATACACGACACTGTATCACAAATGAGTCCGTTTCTCACGGCACTTATTCTCTTCTCTATTCTCTTTCGTTCAGATCGTTGAAAAAGAAATCTTATCTTAAATGAACATAAAAGCTCATAGCGAAACAAAATGAACGAAAGGTGCATTTGAGAAGTATCTGTTGTTTTAAGAATTAACTATCAACTATAAGTGTCTTAGAAGAAAAGTAATGAGCCAACGTATATAAAGACGAATTGTCGAAGCTATTTGACCAATGGTCGCGTGTTATCTTCCTCCTGGCAGCAAACTTCCCGATACTTCTTTACTTCTGCCATATATAGGGACCACGCGTCCTTCGGCTGTTCTGCTGTCTGTTCCGTCTTTGGTTTCGCTACCACACCAGTCTTTAAAATCCTACCACCCCTCCTCTTGCCCACCATCAACGGCGGCGGTACTACAGGCTTTTCCTCCAAGACCGAAGTAGTGGGTTTTTGCATGGTAGGTTGCATCTGTTCCTGCATCTTCTTGAACATCTCCATAAAACTACCATCATTCTTGAAGGCATTCGGTTGTGGGACAACAGCGGTCGTTTGGTGTATCGCCATCTCTCCGTGTTCCTCCAAGGCGTCGGATTCATAGGAAGTTCCCCTGACATGATGCCTGCGACTCTCCCTGTACCTATGCCTGTCTCTATCTCTGCTGCGATTACGACTGCGACTTCGTTTCTTGTCTCTCGAACGAGACCTACCACGCGATCTCGAACGCGATCTGTCTCTTCTCGAGTACTTGCGTGACCTTTCTCTGTCGCGATCCCGGTCTCTGTCGTTGGACCTTGACCGTCTGTGGGAGCGTACCGGGGACGATCTGGATCCACTACGACGGCGCTTACGTCGCTCCTGGAGCGGTGAGTCGTTCCGTGAGGATCTACTGCTTCGATGGTGGTCCATGGCAGGCGAAGGCGAACGTCGCGTACCTGCGACTCTGCTCTTGTGGCTGTCATGTGTCGTGGTATAACCTGTGCTATACATGGGAGGCGAGGGCGGAGTGGGTGGCGATTCGGTATTCGATCTGGCGCTGCGTTCGTACCGCTTTGAGTCCATCACGCTGGCGGGTCGAACCAAAGGATGGACCTATAAGGATAGAAACTGCCTTCCATGAGTATATGGCTTGTTCTGGATCCTCCCGCCTTCATATGACTTGGGCGTTTTTCTTTTTTTTAGTGTGCATTTGCGAGACAGATGGACTTATATAGAGCAAGAGAGCATATAACGTAGACACAACAAATGGTAATTGACACATGACGAGTCAGAGGATACTTTGTATCAAATCAAAGGCATTGCCTGCGATCATCAAGCTGATTTAACGGATAAAGTATCAGCATGGTAATCGCACTGTTTTGCAGTAGCTGTATTCAGAAAGCAACTTTGCAACTTTGTAAAATTCTTAGATTGTCCTTTGCTGGATCTAAATGTAAAAACCAATCATATTAAAGAATTTTACAATAGGTGCAAAGTTGCTTTTTCTGTTGAACACATGTTTCGAAGAGACAAGAGAAAAGTGTCTAAAGAACACTGATGTAAAGCAATTTTGCTTTATACATAGTGTTCTTTTTGCAGTAATTTGGAAATACAAAACACATGAGAGAGAGAGAGAGAGAGAGAGAGAGAGAGAGAGAGAAAGAGAGAGAGAGGATAAAAAAAATCCTAAATTTAAATTCGATTTTAATCAAATCCTACATGTTGCTAGCTATAATTCTGGAAACTCTTCATCGAAGAAATTAATAAAGGAAAATGGACGGAATGAACATATTGGATTCCACTTGGAATCCAATCAACGATGAGAGTTGTTCCTTTTAGACTAAGATGTCGGGAAAGAGCAGAAAAGAAGGAGAGGAAAGGAACATGAGTCGTCTCTTCGACGACTTTTTTCGAGATCTACAATTAACGGAATGGCGATACCCTCTATTCGCGCGTGTGGACACGGCTGTCCCGTCGAGCGTCTCGCTGGACCACTTTAACTAACGCTAATTATCTATATGCGTAATACCTTAATCTGCCGTGCAGTTGAAAAATCGCCCCTTGAGAAACACTGTGCCAGACGACGACGTTGTTACGTCATACACCTCCAAGAGAATATCTTCGTCGATCGAACGTGATAAGACGTGCGAGACGAGATTACGAGAACAATCCTCAAACATTATGAGACATAGAAGGGTATCTCTCTTAGTCTTTCTTTTTCTTCTGGTTTAATGGGTGCATTCAGAACGACAATCGCTCACTGAGCGCTCAATGAACTCTTTCACCTGATTGGTATATTCCATTAGATCCTAAAATATAGACCAATCAGATAAAAGAACTCACTGAGCGCTCAGTGAGCGGTTCTGAATGCATCCAATAACACTCGCCGATGAAATAAAGATATCTTTTCATGCTCAACGCTCATTTCCAGCGTCAAAATAGGCTGCGTTCAGTGAACTCAACAGTTGAGAAAGCGCTCGCTGTTATTGGTGTATTCTTCCAGATCGAAAATGCTGATTGGATGATCTAAAAGAATTCAACAGTGAACGCTCATGCAATTGTTAATTTCGCTGAACGCAGCTATTGATTACATGATTGACGCTTGATATTTATCAATTTCTATCACTTAAGGCCGCAGCACAAACTCTTGCATAACGCATAATAGTGTATAAATCAATTAATCAGAATCTTTCCTTTCTTCTCACTCCATGAAAAAGAAGAATGTCGATTGATTTTCTTGTGCACTATGCATTATGCATAGTGTGCATCTGTGCTGCGGCCATTATTTTAACGCCGAAAATGAGCGTTGAGCATCTACATGAAAAGACACCTTAAAGGTGTATTTTATGCGACACTAATAGCATTGGCAGAGCTGGTGAGCATTTAGTGCACTTTAAAGCCATTGTACACAAATCGGCGTAAAGATATACGTTTAATAAGAATATAGAAACAAATTAAACCGCGAAATCCTCAATACATTTTATTGTGATATTTGATAAAATATACATTGGATATTTTATTAATTGAGATATTTCACTTTTATTACATTCAGGGAATCGATTCTGTATCTTGAAACGAGGTG